AAGATACGGAGGAGAGGTTAAGCAGTCATGTGCAGGGCAGAAAGATTCCTCAGGTAAGCATCGTATCAGAGCAGCATGTCAGTTCTGCACCAGGGGAATCCCCCCCCCCCCCCACACACACACACACTAGCCTTCCCTTGAGGGCTGACAGGTAAACAAATTTTTGCTGACAACATTCTGTATTTCACAGGGAGCACCGTACAGAATAATTGCTGACAACTTTCAGTAGTAGATTTACCCCACTAGGACATCACACAAGCGATAAACACCCGATGACACAAAGTGCCACCATGTGGATGAGGATCCCCCGTGGAGAGGTCCCAGAAACCGCGTTCAGCCATTAGACCATATTTATGGCCGGGCTTCATTGCGGCCTGTGGCAAAAGCCAGGGTGGGGCTTCAAAATAACGAAAAATTGCATCCCACAAGGGGATGACTAGTAATAAACTTTCAGTAATTTACAGGGAGCAATATAGATCAGTTTTGGTGACAACTTTCTACAATTTACAAGTAGCAATATACATCCTTTTTGCTGACAATCTAAAGTTTACAGGGAGCTCTGCAATACACCATCTTATCAGGCAGCTACATTAAAAGAAAACAAATGGAATTGAAATAATAATTTAAAAAAATACTACTTTACACCCTAACAAAACATATATTGCACTTACATGAATCAACAAATATAATACCACAAGAATTGCATAAAGCAAGACACAAGCATACTGCACACTAGACACAATAAACCCCATGTTGTCAAACAAAATAAGGAAACAATCTAATTCATCTTGGATTTCCCTTTTTAACTCTTTGAGTCCCAGGAGGTTTAGCATCGCAGGCCCAAGAGAGACATAAAATCAGCACATCATACGTTTACTGGTCTTCTTGGTAGGAACCTATGGACGTATGATGCGTTCCTCGGGACTCAAAGAGTTAAACAATATGGCCACATACTTCAACAGAAAATTAGGCCGTCTCAACAAGACAGGCTGGTTGCAATGTACCTGCCACCGCTAACGAAGGAAACATTACAATGTGATAGCTGAATCCCTTCTATGGTGTGACTCTCTTACCAATGTCTCAAAGCCAAGAAAATTGCCTTTGTCTATGAAGCTGAACCCCGGTAAACGGACTGCATTGTGAAAGCATTTCACTAATCGCCTAGCCACAACAAAGCTGCACACATTTCTATAGTGTTCAGTCTTTTTCCTCTGACCTTCTTCTTGTGAGCGTTATATCAGAAAGCCGTCCCCTTGTGAGTTGCATTGTTTTGGTTATTTTGAAGCCTCACCCTGGCTTTTGCCATCCTATTTTTTTGCTGTTGGTATAAAATACTGCACTGTTCGCTGTCACTGTCATATAATGTTGTTTTACTGATTTGCCATTTGCCATATCTTCTTCTTTGTTCACTGGCTGTAAGCTCTGAGGGAAAGTCCTGGTTGTTCATTCATTCGAACTTTGTGCCAGGGCCTGAGTTTTGCGTGTACATCTGTTTTACCGGCTTATTTGTGTGCAGTTAGTTGTTACTTGCTGCTTGAGCAGATGCGCTCCAACTTTGAAGGAAGTCCCCAGTTAGTTGACGCCTATGAGATTCTAGCTAGGAAGGCAGTGGGTCTATTCTTGTTTTCCCCACAATGGGGCCTCAAAACCCACAGGGGGAATTCGCCATATAATGTTGTACTACTGATGACAGTTGCCATTTAATGTTGTATCCTCTAATGTTGTATCTTCTTCTTATTCTTTGCTTTCACCAGCTGTAAATTCTGGTGGTAAGTTCTGGTTGTTCCTTCACTTCTGGACTGTAGTCCTGTTCCTGAACCTGAGTGCTGCGTGTGCATCCGTTTTACAGATTTGACTCATTTGTGTACAGACTATTGGTTCCTTGCCTCTCAGGCAGATGCACTATGACTTCGAAGGAAGCTCCCAATTAGTCGACTCTTACAACATGCTTTTGGGTAGGCAGTGGGTCTATTCTTGTTTTCCTTATAATAGGGCCCCGAAACCCACAGGGTGGAATGTTGTATTATTTAATACAACTGACACATTCTTCTTCACGCTCACCAAATTTAAATTCCGGCGGAAAGTTCTAGTTGCTCATCCAATTCCGGACTTTAGTCTTATTCCAGCACTTGAGTTTTGTGTGCATTTGTTGTATAGATCTGGCTTATTTGTATTTTGTTTTTGTAAATGTCATATGCTGTCATTACTGATGCCTTATACTATTGTACCATTTACCGTCACTGTGATATAATGTTGTACTATTTACTGTGATTGTCAAATAATGTTGTACTATTGAACTGTAACTGTCAAATAATGTTATACTATTTACTGTAACTGTCATATAATGTTATACTATTTACTGTAACTGTCATATAATGTTTTACTATTTACTGTAACTGTCATATAATGTTTTACTATTTCCTGTAACTGTCATATAATGTTTTACTATTTCCTGTAACTGTCATATAATGTTGTTCTTTTTGTTGTAACTTCCAGACACTGTTGGACCCTTTATTACCACATACTGTACATATTTTCTATTATTAATACTGCAAACAGAAATATTCAAGGACATTAACATTTAAAAGCTAAAGCATGAACAAAATTTCCATCTTCATGTTTTGTGTCAAGCCTATCTCATTCCCCAGCACATATATGGAAATACCAAATGATGAATGATGAACATAAAAATAGCATGCATTAATACAATCTAAGGATTCAGAGCTGATGAACCATACGTGGTAGCGCACCTGACCCCGGACTCATACAGGTTAAAGTCCTAAAAGGTTAAAGGGTAAAGTTAAGAGGATCGACTTCACTGCACCGGGGTTTATCCCATATGGCTCAGTCTTTCTCTCCACAGAACGGCTAGCCACCTGCATGAACTCTGTAGCTCTGGCGGCTACCCCTAGTGCTCTCTGTAAAAATGAAAAAACAACAACTTATGCCTGGATTACCTATCACACTCAATCTTGACACACAACAACCACACCAACAGTACCACAACTTTTGCCTGGATTTCTGATTCACTCAACCTGGACACACAAAAGCTAGACAAGCAAAACAAAAACTTTTGCCTGGACTGCTTATTTCACTCAACCGTGACTCACAACAGCCACACCAACAGAACAAAAACTTTTGCCTGGACTACTTATTTCACTCAACCGTGACTCACAAAAGCTACATCAATAGAACAAAATGTGTTCATGAATGTCTCCCAAACTGTCAAATTGTTTGTATGGAGTCCCCAAACAAAATGTACACACTTCAACAGATATTATTTATGTTAGTGGTCTTCAACCTGGGGGGTGCAAGGAGGTTAACACACACATTTATTTATAGATCAAGAATGCATTCTGACCAAAATGTATCTCCATACTTTCTGTTTCACTTGTTTCCGGATCTATTGTTTCTCCTCTTTTTAATCCCATTTTGTTATGTTGGGAACGGAGGGTCTTGCCAAATACCAATAGAAGCATGGGGGGGGGGGGAATATCTTGCCATATACTCAAGGATGGCATGACCTGAAAAAAAGGTTGGAGATCACTGGTTTATGAACTTTTAAAACAGTCCAATCAAATTACTGTATCAATGTATAGTATATGTTCACATGAATTCTAGCATCAGAACCTGAAAGACAGGCAGGTTTTGTACATTTGCGATTACCAACAGATTTAATGTTTAAATGTACTGCAATCATGTAAACCTTTGCCACAACACTATCTGAGAAATACAAAGACACTGGTAATGTTTTCAAGCACTTCCAACACATATAATGCACAACATTACATTTCTGAATAACTGAAAGTGCACAAAAATGCCTGAAAGTACCCAAAACAATGTTAAAAAGTAGTCCAAAACATGGCAAATACCTTTAAGCAAACATTAACTTAGAAGTCAGAAAATGTTCAGTCACAAAGAAATTCAATTTCCCATAATTTCAGCTACCCATTAAACACAGATCTGTCCACCACATGCATCATCATCATCATGTAGCAGGTCCTTTGCAGAACGTCGCTCTCATCACAGTCTGCCTGAAAGAAACTCGTTCGCTCGCCATTCTCCCACCTCATGCATTTTCACACTCAAGGAGTCACCTATATCCTGTGCCCATCTTCGTGTCGGTCGGTCCCTGCCACTCCTTCCTGGTACCATGCCTTCTGCTACAATTTTTTCCAATCCGTCGTGGCGCTTGATATGACCAAAATATTTCAGCTTTCGAGAAAGGATGCTGTTTATTAGCCAATCTTTCTTGATGTTCAGATCTTTTAAGATGTCAATATTTCTCATCTTCTTTGTTCAAGATATTCTGAGAATCTTTCTATAACATTTTTTCCACCACATGCATGTTCCCATAATTTCAACCGTCCATGACATTCTGATCTGCCTACTCTTGCAAGTTCCCATAATTTCAACCGTCCATGACACTCTAATCTGTCTACCCCTGCAAGTTCCCATAATTTCAACCGTCCATGACACTCTAATCTGCCTACCCCTGAAAGTTCCCATAATTTCAACCATCATGACACCCACCTCTGTTCACCATGAAAATTCCTAAAATTTAAACAAATCATGAAACCTAAATCAGTTCACCATGAAAGTTCCCCTAATTTCACCCACTCATCGAGCCAAAAACCATATTTTTCCACGTATGAGACAAAATGTATTCTCACATTTTTAAGTTTAAAATTGGGGGCCATCTTATTCACAGAATGTGTTAAAAATATTTCTTAACTATGGGCAAAAATATAGGGGTGTCTTTTACATGGAACAATACACTATGTCCAACAAGTTCCCATAATTTCGAGTGCTCAGGAACCTCAGATCAGACTTGTCCACAAAGTTCTCATAATTTCAACTGCCCATGAAACCCGGATCTGCCATCCAAGCTTCCATAATTTCAATCATTTATGAAAAACAGATCTGTCTACCATCCAAGCTCCCATAATTTCAACCATCCATGAAATTCAGATCTGCCAGTCATGCAAGTTCCCGTAACATTAATCTGGTGTGGCTGGGGGATCTGTACTGAAGTATGGGGTTGCGTCTTTCACTAGAATTGTGTGGCAGACATCACAGACTTTGGCTTGCCGGAAATTGGGTCCACTGACCACAGATTTGGTGGTGCAGTCAGCACAGAAGATCCTACCGCAGTGCCGGCAATGGTGCTGGGGAACAGAGAATGTGTGAAATATATTTTAGAAAAGTGCACAAAATATTTTGATAATACTGAGATAAAAAGTCTCAAACACAATATAAAATAATTGAACACAATACATTAAAAAAAAAACATTAATAAATGACAAGACAATCATATACATGAAATAAATAATTGTAAAAAATAAAATAAAAAATAAATGACAAACAAGAGATAAGTAATGAAATACTGTCATTTAAAAAAAAATTATGTTAAGAGTGTTGTAAAAAAAAATTAACAGTGCCATCAGAGAATCATATATGAATGCTGTTGGTAAATAATATAAGAATGGTGTCTGTAAAGTGGTTCTGTAATTAATATAAGAATGGTGTCTGTAAAGTGGTTCTGTAAATAATATAAGAATGGTGTCTGTAAAGTGGTTCTGTAAATAATATAAGAATGGTGTCTGTAAAGTGGTTCTGTAAATAATATAAGAATGGTGTCTGTAAAGTGGTTCTGTAAATAATATAAGAATGGTGTCTGTAAAGTGGTTCTGTAAATAATATAAGAATGGTGTCTGTAAAGTGGTTCTGTAAATAATATAAGAGTGGTGTCTGTAAAGTGGCTCTGTAAATTATATAAGAATGGTGTCTGTAAAGTGGCTCTGTAAATTATATAAGAATGGTGTCTGTAAAGTGGCTCTGTAAATTATATAACAATGGTGTCTGTAAAGTGGTTCTGTAAGTAATATAAGAATAGTGTCTGTAAGTAATATAAGAATGGTGTCTGTAAGTAATATAAGAATGGTGCCTGTAAGTAATATAAGAATGGTGCCTGTAAGTAATATAAGAATGGTGTCTGTAAGTAATACAAGAATGGTGTCTGTAAGTAATATAAGAATGGTGCCTGTAAATAATACAAGAATGGTGTCTGTAAATAATACAAGAATGGTGTCTGTAAGTAATATAAGAATGGTGCCTGTAAATAATACAAGAATGGTGTCTGTAAGTAATATAAGAATGGTGTCTGTAAATAATACAAGAATGGTGCCTGTAAGTAATATAAGAATGGTGTCTGTAAATAATACAAGAATGGTGCCTGTAAGTAATATAAGAATGGTGTCTGTAAGTAATATAAGAATGGTGTCTGTAAATAATACAAGAATGGTGCCTGTAAGTAATATAAGAATGGTGTCTGTAAATAATACAAGAATGGTGCCTGTAAGTAATATAAGAATGGTGCCTGTAAGTAATATAAGAATGGTGTCTGTAAATAATACAAGAATGGTGCCTGTAAGTAATATAAGAATGGTGTCTGTAAGTAATATAAGAATGGTGTCTGTAAGTAATATAAGAATGGTGTCTGTAAGTAATATAAGAATGGTGTCTGTAAGTAATATAAGAATGGTGTCTGTAAGTAATATAAGAATGGTGCCTGTAAGTAATATAAGAATGGTGCCTGTAAGTAATATAAGAATGGTGCCTGTAAGTAATATAAGAATGGTGCCTGTAAGTAATATAAGAATGGTGTCTGTAAGTAATATAAGAATGGTGCCTGTAAGTAATATAAGAATGGTGTCTGTAAATAATACAAGAATGGTGCCTGTAAGTAATATAAGAACGGTGTCTGTAAGTAATATAAGAACGGTGTCTGTAAATAATACAAGAATGGTGTCTGATGGTAATATAAGAATGGTGCCTGTAAGTAATATAAGAATGGTGTCTGTAAGTAATATAAGAATGGTGCCTGTAAGTAATATAAGAATGGTGTCTGTAAGTAATATAAGAATGGTGTCTGTAAGTAATATAAGAATGGTGCCTGTAAGTAATATAAGAATGGTGTCTGTAAGTAATATAAGAATGGTGTCTGTAAGTAATATAAGAATGGTGTCTGTAAGTAATATAAGAATGGTGTCTGTAAGTAATACAAGAATGGTGTCTGTAAGTAATATAAGAATGGTGTCTGTAAATAATATAAGAATGGTGCCTGTAAGTAATATAAGAATGGTGTCTGTAAGTAATACAAGAATGGTGTCTGTAAGTAATATAAGAATGGTGTCTGTAAGTAATATAAGAATGGTGCCTGTAAGTAATATAAGAATGGTGTCTGTAAGTAATATAAGAATGGTGCCTGTAAGTAATATAAGAATGGTGTCTGTAAGTAATATAAGAATGGTGCCTGTAAGTAATATAAGAATGGTGTCTGTAAATAATACAAGAATGGTGTCTGTAAGTAATATAAGAATGGTGCCTGTAAGTAATATAAGAATGGTGCCTGTAAGTAATATAAGAATTGTGCCTGTAAGTAATATAAGAATGGTGTCTGTAAGTAATATAAGAATGGTGCCTGTAAGTAATATAAGAATGGTGTCTGTAAGTAATATAAGAATGGTGTCTGTAAGTAATATAAGAATGGTGTCTGTAAGTAATATAAGAATGGTGTCTGTAAGTAATATAAGAATGGTGTCTGTAAATAATACAAGAATGGTGCCTGTAAGTAATATAAGAATGGTGTCTGTAAGTAATATAAGAATGGTGTCTGTAAATAATACAAGAATGGTGCCTGTAAGTAATATAAGAATGGTGTCTGTAAGTAATATAAGAATGGTGTCTGTAAGTAATATAAGAACGGTGTCTGTAAATAATACAAGAATGGTGTCTGTAAGTAATATAAGAATGGTGTCTGTAAGTAATAAAAGAATGGTGTCTGTAAATAATACAAGAATGGTGCCTGTAAGTAATATAAGAATGGTGTCTGTAAGTAATATAAGAATGGTGTCTGTAAATAATACAAGAATAGTGTCTGTAAGTAATATAAGAATGGTGTCTGTAAGTAATATAAGAATGGTGTCTGTAAATAATACAAGAATGGTGCCTGTAAGTAATATAAGAATGGTGTCTGTAAGTAATATAAGAATGGTGTCTGTAAATAATACAAGAATGGTGTCTGTAAGTAATATAAGAATGGTGTCTGTAAGTAATATAAGAATGGTGTCTGTAAATAATATAAGAATGGTGTCTGTAAGTAATATAAGAATGGTGTCTGTAAGTAATACAAGAATGGTGTCTGTAAGTAATATAAGAATGGTGTCTGTAAATAATACAAGAATGGTGTCTGTAAGTAATATAAGAATGGTGTCTGTAAGTAATATAAGAATGGTGTCTGTAAGTAATATAAGAATGGTGTCTGTAAGTAATATAAGAATGGTGCCTGTAAGTAATATAAGAATGGTGTCTGTAAGTAATATAAGAATGGTGTCTGTAAGTAATATAAGAATGGTGCCTGTAAGTAATATAAGAATGGTGTCTGTAAGTAATATAAGAATGGTGTCTGTAAGTAATATAAGAATGGTGCCTGTAAGTAATATAAGAATGGTGTCTGTAAATAATACAAGAATGGTGTCTGTAAGTAATATAAGAATGGTGCCTGTAAGTAATATAAGAATGGTGTCTGTAAGTAATATAAGAATGGTGCCTGTAAGTAATATAAGAATGGTGCCTGTAAGTAATATAAGAATGGTGTCTGTAAATAATACAAGAATGGTGTCTGTAAGTAATATAAGAATGGTGCCTGTAAGTAATATAAGAATGGTGTCTGTAAGTAATATAAGAATGGTGTCTGTAAGTAATATAAGAACGGTGTCTGTAAGTAATATAAGAACGGTGTCTGTAAATAATACAAGAATGGTGTCTGTAAGTAATATAAGAATGGTGTCTGTAAATAATACAAGAATGGTGTCTGTAAGTAATATAAGAATGGTGTCTGTAAATAATACAAGAATGGTGTCTGTAAGTAATATAAGAACGGTGTCTGTAAATAATACAAGAATGGTGTCTGTAAGTAATATAAGAACGGTGTCTGTAAATAATACAAGAATGGTGTCTGTAAGTAATATAAGAATGGTGTCTGTAAATAATACAAGAATGGTGTCTGTAAATAATACAAGAATGGTGTCTGTAAGTAATATAAGAATGGTGCCTGTAAGTAATATAAGAATGGTGTCTGTAAATAATACAAGAATGGTGTCTGTAAGTAATATAAGAACGGTGCCTGTAAGTAATATAAGAATGGTGTCTGTAAGTAATATAAGAATGGTGTCTGTAAGTAATATAAGAATGGTGTCTGTAAATAATACAAGAATGGTGTCTGTAAATAATACAAGAATGGTGTCTGTAAATAATACAAGAATGGTGTCTGTAAGTAATATAAGAATGGTGTCTGTAAGTAATATAAGAATGGTGTCTGTAAGTAATATAAGAATGGTGTCTGTAAGTAATATAAGAATGGTGTCTGTAAGTAATATAAGAATGGTGCCTGTAAGTAATATAAGAATGGTGTCTGTAAGTAATACAAGAATGGTGTCTGTAAGTAATATAAGAACGGTGTCTGTAAGTAATATAAGAATGGTGTCTGTAAATAATACAAGAATGGTGTCTGTAAAAAATACAAGAATGGTGTCTGTAAGTAATATAAGAACGGTGTCTGTAAGTAATATAAGAACGGTGTCTGTAAGTAATATAAGAATGGTGTCTGTAAGTAATATAAGAACGGTGTCTGTAAGTAATTTAAGAACGGTGTCTGTAAGTAATATAAGAACGGTGTCTGTAAGTAATATAAGAATGGTGTCTGTAAGTAATATAAGAACGGTGTCTGTAAGTAATATAAGAACGGTGTCTGTAAGTAATATAAGAACGGTGTCTGTAAGTAATATAAGAACGGTGTCTGTAAGTAATATAAGAACGGTGTCTGTAAGTAATATAAGAACGGTGTCTGTAAGTAATATAAGAACGGTGTCTGTAAGTAATATAAGAACGGTGTCTGTAAGTAATATAAGAATGGTGTCAGTAAGTAATATGAAGGTTGTCTGTAAATAATGCAAGAGTGGCATCTGTAAATAATGTAAGGCTGCAAATAGTTTGGCCAAACAAATGAACTGCTGAGGAAAAAACCAAAATGTTCATTACTGGAAAACGTTATCAAAGCAAGAAGATAGAGATGGCTTGGACATGTTTGCACAATGCATCATTATATTTTGGCAGGGATGGCTCTCCAATGGATGGCAGCTGGAAAAAAAAAAGGTGATGTGGACGACCTACGGTAAAATACAGAAGGACAGAGGTATGAGAAATAAAAAAAATATAAAATGACATGGTGTAGTACAAGCAGAAAGCAGCAGATCCGCAGTAATGAAGACATCACTTGTGAATGTCTTATGTGTCAACAGGAACAAAAAAGGATATATATCATATACATCACTTGTGAATGTCTTATGTGTCAACAGGAACAAAAAAGGATATATATCATCATATACATCACTTGTGAATGTCTTATGTGTCAACAGGAACAAAAAAGGATATATATCATCATATACATCACTTGTGAATGTCTTATGTGTCAACAAGAACAAAAAAGGATATATATCATCATATACATCACTTGTGAATGTCTTATGTGTCAACAGGAACAAAAAAGGATATATATCATCATATACATCACTTGTGAATGTCTTATGTGTCAACAGGAACAAAAAAGGATATATATCATCATATACATCACTTGTGAATGTCTTATGTGTCAACAAGAACAAAAAAGGATATATATCATCATATACATCACTTGTGAATGTCTTATGTGTCAACAGGAACAAAAAAGGATATATATCATCATATACATCACTTGTGAATGTCTTATGTGTCAACAGGAACAAAAAAGGATATATATCATCATATACATCACTTGTGAATGTCTTATGTGTCAACAAGAACAAAAAAGGATATATATCATCATATACATCACTTGTGAATGTCTTATGTGTCAACAAGAACAAAAAAGGATATATATCATCATATACATCACTTGTGAATGTCTTATGTGTCAACAAGAACAAAAAAGGATATATATCATCATATACATCACTTGTGAATGTCTTATGTGTCAACAGGAAGAAAACAAAGGATATATCATATACACACTTGTGAATGTCTTATGTGTCAAAACAAAAAAGGATATATAATATACACACTTGTGAATGTCTTATGTGTCAACAGGAAGAAAACAAAGGATATATATACACACTTGTGAATGTCTTATGTGTCAACAGGAAGAAAACAAAGGATATATATACACACTTGTGAATGTCTTATGTGTCAAAACAAGAAAATGATATATCATATACACACTTGTGAATGTCTTATGTGTCAACAGGAAGAAAACAAAGGATATATCATTTACACACTTGTGAATGTCTTATGTGTCAAAACAAAAAAAGGATATATAATATACACACTTGTGAATGTCTTATGTGTCAAAACAAAAAAAGGATATATAATATACACACTTGTGAATGTCTTATGTGTCAAAACAAAAAAGGATATATAATATACACACTTGTGAATGTCTTATGTGTCAACAGGAATAAAAAAGGATATATATCATATATACTTAGATTATTCTTCAACTATGTCGTCCCCCCCCCCCCCCCCCCCCCCCCCCAAAGAGATTTAGTTTCCTCTAACAGAAAGATAAGCTATAAGTTACATAAGAAGTTAAAAGTCCAGAGAACTGACTTTACTGCACCAGGTTTTATCAAACAGGGCTCAGTCTCTCTATGCAGAATGGCTGGCCTCCTGCCAAGAGCATCACACAATGCATAAAACTAGAGCTCTGGTGATGATTCCTAAGGATCTCAGCAAATACTGAAGTCTGAACTGAACAAAAGATCCGTGAAAGGAACCCAGGACCTTCAGAGAGCAAGGACAATAGCTTGACCACTTCACCCCGAACAGTTACATAAGCAGTGTGCGGCAAACAGAATGCAATTAAACAAAAGTGAGACCCCTATATAATTTCTCCCCCACCCCCTTAAAAAAAAGTAACAAGATGTTTACCTTGCGCTTGGTGACAGAAAAAGGCTGTTTACAGTTATTACAATCATCAATATCATCTTCGTGTTGCCACCGAACCTCGTTTTCTGCCTGGCGGATTTTCTCCAACTGAATCTGTTGAAGATGATCAAGATTAGGACAGGAATGGCTGATTTATCTTGCACCAGTCAAAACACTGATATGGCCAATTCACCAACATGACCAAAACATTCACAATGTTAAACCACTATCAATGGTCGAATCAAAAACATGGTGGCATCACTAACATGGTCAAACCACTACTAGGGTCAAGTCACTACCAGTGCTAAATCACAAACATGGCCAATTACTAACAGGTTCAAATCACTAACATGGTTAAATCACTACTATGGTCAAATCACTAACATGGTCAAATCACTAACACATCAAATCATTAACATGATCAAATCAGTACTAGGGTCAAATCACTAACATGGTCAAATCACTAACACATCAAATTACTAACTTGATCATATCTCCAACATGGTCAAATCAGTAATAGGGTGAAATCACTAACAGATCAAATCACTAACATGGTTAAATCACTAACCCGGGTGAAATCAATGATGTCATCATTAACATGGTCAAATAACTAAACAATGAACCTATATCAAATCAATAAAATGGTCAAATCATTAACACAACAAATCAATCACTATGACATGAAATCACTAACAGGTGAAATCACTAACATGGTGAAATCATTAACACATCAAATTACTAACAGGTCTAATCTCTAAAAGGTCAAATCACCAACTTAGTCAAATCATTAAAACGGTCAATCACCAACACTGGTGACATCACTAACATGGTCAAATCATTAACATGGTCAAATCACTAATGTAACTGCATCAATATCATGGCCAACTCACCGCAACCTGAACCTAATATCCTGACAACTGATATAGCTAAAAGACAAGAGCCTCACCTGCAGTGACTGGGACAGCTTGACAAAATCTCTCTGCACTGCCTCGCTGTTGTCCAAGTCCACTTGTAGAGACTGCACTTTGGTCCTCAGTGCATGGTTCTCTGATTCCAGCTTGCTCTAAAACAAAACAACCACACATGAATCAAAGCAAGTGGTTTTCTGCTGTAAATCGAAACACACAAGAATAAAACAGGCTACACAACTAATTTTGTTCGTTCCTTCTTCTTCGCATTCACCAGCTGTAAACTCTGGGGGAAAGTTCTGGTTGTTCATCCACTTCTGGACAGCAGTCATGTTTCAGAACCTAAGTGTTGTATGTGCATCTGTTTTACAGATCTGACTCATTTGTATGCAGACTGGTGGTTCCTTGCCTCTCAGGCAGATGCACTCAGACTTCGAAGGAAGCTCCCAATTAGTTGACTCTTACGACATGCTTTTGGGTAGGCAGTGGGTCAATTCTCGTTTTCCCCGCAATAGGGCCCCGGAACCTACACGGGGAACAGCTTATTCATCATGACCAGCCTTGTGCACATCACAAAAGGCTCACAACCTATTCCTCCACCCCCCCCCCCCCCCCCACCTGTGTCGGTGCGAAGATCCCACTGTGGGGGGAAACAAGAATAAACCTGCTGCCTCTCCAACAAGCATGTCTCAAGAGGCAACAAATTAGGGGTGTTTCCTTCAAAGCTGGAAGTGCCATTGCTGCATCTGCCTGAGATGTGCGGAATCAACGGTCTGCATACAAATAAGCATATCTGTCGAACGGATGTGCAGGCAAAATATACATCAAGTTACAGAAGAAGACTAAAGTCTAGAAGTGGATAAAGACTAGAACTTTCCATAAGAGTTTTACAGCTGGTGAATACAAAGAATAATAATAATAATAATAATAAGAAGAAGAAGAAAAAAAGAAAACACATACAAGCAATACAAGATACACAATTTATTCATCATTACCCTTTTGAGCACAGATAGATCATTACGGTCTAAGGAGAATGGCGCTGCGGGAGTTTTACAAGGGGATCTGGCCGACGCTTGACACTCGGGGGGAGGTAAGAGACGGATATACAGACAGTTACTGGTACCATCGAAACTGGAACTCTTCACTTGCTGCTAAAGATGGGGGACTGAGCACTTATGGGAGTGTCCTGAGTGCTGTGATGCCAATTCCTAATTCAACATAAGCTATTCCTCCATTCCCACCCATCCTTTCCATTTCATGGCTGGAATCCAGCCTACCACCTTTAGCTTTTCTATTAACTTTCTCTTTTATGTCATTTTCCCCCTCAATCCACTTGTTTCCCACTTCAGCATCTGTTTAGTGATTCGCTTCTTTACAGGATGAGTCTGATATAGCACCCGTTTCTTCGCCTAATAACTTGTAATCTTAGTTTCAGCTTAATAGCAAATGGGTCACACCATAGTTGCTCTGTTCCTCTCTTCTTTTTCTTCAGCATTCCGAGCCCCTGAGGTTCATTACTGCAGATTTCCTCCGCCTCTTCGGTTGGCCTTCTCCCTCCAGTTGGTGACACCAAGTGTTTGAAGGTCTGTCTGGACATAACCTCTCCATCGCTCCACTCCTGTGCCAACAATAAACACACAGAATGTCCATCGTAGGATAAATGACAGACTGCCGTCTCAGCATGTCCACCAGCATACACAATCATTTCAAGCATAAGGCAGCCAACAGAAGTGCTAACACAAACAGTCCAACATTAGAAATGCAGTTCACATCAACGTAAGGAGCAGTTACAAAAAGTTGCACACACGATCAATGCCTAATAACTGTTGACACCAACAGTTTTCCAGACATTTCTTTTATTCCTTCACCTTTCTTGAACAATAGGAAGGCTAACCCAATGAACACATGCCTGATGTAAGAAGGATGCGTCGGCCATAAGGCACAAATATCGCAGCTATGCTGTAAACCCACTCTCACTAAACATCAGAAAACAATTATTGAAATGTTTTATTGAGTCTGTTCTGTTGTATGGCAGTGAATCTTGGAACGTGAGCAAACAAATTAAGAAGAGATGTGGTTCTTGAGAAGAATGTGGCAAATACTTGGACTGCCAGAATAACTAACAATGATTGCCTGGAAATGGCTAATTAAAGTAGTATATTATATACAAAAATGAGAAGGAGACAGAGGCAGACCGAAAGAAATGACGGTGGATGGCTGAAGACAGTGGCATGGAGGCATATCATCATTAGAACTGATCCAGAACACCAAAGACTGAGAGCTGTGGAGATGCACTAACACCTGCGCCAGCTGGCAGGTCACTTGATGATAATGCTGTAAAGAGGCACAACACAATGATGTCTCTTGGACGAATGATGAAGAAGAATTTATCCTATTTAATGGCTCAATTTATTGTCTGTGATACTGAATGTCTGGTGTAGTTATCAAGTGCCTTGCTGACTGACTTGAGTGACCATGCTGCCCTCGCATCTTGCGACCTCTAACAGCATTTACGTGTCAACACCCTCCCATGCAATCACAAAAGGCTATCAAGAAATCACCTCTCACTGCCTTCCCTTATCTCATACCATAGATCTTTCCAGCTGTTACAACATGTTGCCATTTTTGTTTTCTAATAACGTTGCTCCTTCAACAACAAAACAAAGCTGCCTATTTCTGATAACTTTTTTTCAAGTTTTAGCCCTCGTGAAAACATTTAAATTCATTATTTTGGTTGTTTAATGAATTTTAACCATTCCCTAGCATCACATCTTTGGGAGACTAAAGGATTTTTCCGGCAAGTTTACTAACTGCCCAGTATTCACAGCCCATGTTAAAACTAGTTTTATGTATACACAAATTTACTTTTCACTTTCTACAGGTCAATGTAGGCCCCCCCCCCCCCCCCCCCCCCAGAATTTAGTTAGTGAGTGTTTGTACTTTTACTAGGCAATTTTACGTTAAGTGGTGTGCAGCCAAAATGAATTTGCCCACCGAGAGAGAGGAGTGCCTTTTGATGCCATGCCATAACAACAACAGCTGTACACCAGAAGTGGAGAAGGGTGGAAACAAAGAGGTACCCAAGAACAAGATGGAGAGATAAAACTGGAGAAACTACAACAGCACAGTGTGTTTGTGCTCGAAGATGGCTAGAAGAGCATGGAGCAAATCTTTCCATCTCTCTAAAAAGAGAATAAAAAGGTAAAAGGTAAAGTCCACACAAGACTCCGTAGCTACAGTGACGTTCCGCCATTTACCCCCAAAGTGGTAACTCTGGTACCCATTTCCTAGAGGCTGGGTGAACCCAGGGAACCGTCCAGTTTTGAACATCGGCCATGGGCTGCAGCGAGTGGCATCTTGATTTGAAAGCGAGTCTCCTATCGACTGCGCTAATGTGGCCCCCAAAAAAAGAGAATAGGAATGGCTTAAACAATCTTTAGTAAGATGCGCAAACTACTGACAGCTGGAGAGATCAACAACACACCAAAAATGAGAATTGTCAATTGTTATATAAATCCAATCCTTCACTGTGGAGATGGCACCTGACTGACTGATTGATTGACACCTGAAGTGGTAAAATATGAAGAGAAGAGAAAGTCTGTCACTGCTTTCTGAATGGTATGGCACACATCCTATTGTCAATGTTAGGTTATCACAAGTGACGCCACTGCACATTATGCATCTTCCTGCATGTTCAGTCTTTCAATGCAGCAGCCGCTTCAAGGTAACTCTGCCGACTGCTCTCATGAGAAGCTCGTTACAGTGTCTCCTGTCTCCTGGCATAGGGCGTGCTTCACCAAGCTTTACTCCTAGGTACTGTAATCATGATACCACCAGAGATTCATCCTTACCAGCTAGCCTAGACCACACAGCACTGATGACATCAGCTCTATCCATGCTTCTTTCTGTTTGCATTAGTGAAATACTTGCCAGCTGGTCGGCTCATTCATTACCTTTCACCCCTGCATATCCACATGTGTGTGGATGGATCCAGGTGATGGAGGTAAACTGCAGCTATCCCATTGTTAAATCAACACAAAGTGATCTGCTTGTGAACCACCTGCAGCTGGCTTTGAACCTTGACATACAGGGTTTGTGAACTGCATCCACAATTCCTACATCACAGATACCAACTCAAACAAATTAGCATACCTTTTTCTTATCCATCTCCTCCAACCTCTCCTGCATTTTACTGATCAGCTGCTTAGATTTGCCCTGGATGCTCCTCAAAGAGGACTCTGCCTCTCGGAGTTTTGTCTCTGTTTCAGCCCTCAGCGTGGCCTCCTGCTCCAGATCTTTCTTCAGTACATCTATTTCAGCTGGGAATGTACAGAAAAACTTACTTTAAAATATTACCTACACAGATAATAATAATAAATACAATAACAAAGTTTAATGAAACCATAGTGGACACAGAAGTCTGCTGCAATAAAAGTTAAACATGTATATGAAGTACAACACTAATTTTGTGTAGGTAATGGAAATCCCAGGTCTGCAGGCTGCCTAATGCTGGTTTCTATGCCCATGATGAATGAAAGGCTCAATATTTGGAAGTGAGGTTAAACAGACATAAGCAGGATGTGATGATTCCTTGGGTGAGCCCAGTACCAGAGCACCATGTACTTACTGATTTTGCAGTTATGGAAGCCTCTTTTGATGCTGGGGAATGCTCATGTTCTGCCCCTGCCTTATCTTGAGGGGTGATATCAGCACTGCATGACTGCTTTGGACCAGTCTGATGGGGGAAAGGTGAGGTTGGGGGTGTGGGGCGGGGGAACACCCTCCATGAACCAGGAAATAATGATGACCACTCAACAATGAGACTACAATGTTCTAAGCAACTAAACGGGAAGGCTAAATTCCAAAGCAATAACTGGCTGGGATATGTTATAAATTCCACCGCAATAACAGGTTGGGAAATGTTATAAATTCTACTGCAATAACAGGTTAGGAAATGTTATAAATTCTACTGCAATAACAGGTTAGGAAATATTATAAATTCTACTGCAATAACAGGTTAGGAAATGTTATAAATTCTACTGCAATAACAGGTTAGGAAATGTTATAAATTCTACTGCAATAACAGGTTAGGAAATGTTATAAATTCTACTGCAATAACAAGTTAGGAAATGTTATAAATTCTACTGCAATAACAGGTTAGGGAATGTTATATATTCTACTGCAATAACAGGTTAGGAAATGTTATATATTCTACTGCAATAACAGGTTAGGAAATGTTATGAATTCTACTGCAATAACAGGTTAGGATATGTTATAAATTACAACAGCAATAACAAGTTTAGATATGTTAAGAATTTCACAGCAACATCAGGTAGGATATGTTACAAATTCCACAGTTATAGTAGGTTAGGACATATTATAAACTCCTAAGCGTGACAAGCTAGACCTGGTCAACACCCCTTGGAAGTAAGTGAACAATGAGGAAGCATGAGTAAAATCATTACAGTGTGAAGAGAGAGCGGTGTGGTACGGTTCGACCAGTGGATCTGGCCGAAACTCAGAGGAAAGGCAAGACAGACATATAATCAGACTGCTACCAGTACCAGCAGAATCATAATTCTTTGCAGGCTGCTGAAGATGAGGATGGACTGCAGGTGAGAATGTCCAGAGTGCTGACTCAACTCAACATCAATAAGAGAATTTGTTAAATATTTGATTTTCCTGTAATAACAAATATAAAATGTCCACACCCCACACACTTACCAGTGGTGTCCGGCCAAGTGAAGAGTATCTGTCTGAGGGGTTACAGCACTGGTTCTCAACCTTCCGAATGCCGCGAACCTTTAATACAATTCCCCATGTTGTGGTGACACCAACCCCCCAATTAAAATTATTTTTGTTGTTAACTTCATAACTTCAGTGAATATGTGTTTTCCGATGGTCTTAGGCGACCCCTGTGAAAGGGTCATTTGACCCCAAAGGGGTCATGACCCACAGATTGAGAGCCACTGGGTTAGAGCTCTCCTTCAGGAGATTCTTGTTCGATTCCTCATTAAGACGATAGGATTTGTTTCTGTCATGGGCAAAAACCCTGTATGTTTCCGTGCATGAGACAATATGTTTTCCCAAACTTTCTCAATTTAACATTGGGGGGTCGTCTTACACGCGTTGAAAATACTGTATTTCTGAATTGTGCGCTAACAAAAATAAGGATCATCTTAAACATGGAGGCGTAGTACACATACAGCCCTTCGGTCTTAGATACTAAGAATAAAAATTACTGACTGATGGCAAAAGAGCAAAGGGAAGGCGAAGAGACATACCAGATGGCTTGGCCATTTGGCAAGACAAGAACACTGACCTGATCTGTGATTCTGGTAATCGTTCAAGATGGCAAAACATAATTTCCTACGCTCATTAGCATGGCACATGCTGATGATGAAACATGACACCACCAACACCCACCTCCACTCCAAACTAAGTTGGTTTAAAAAATGTAAATCTTTTCCCACACTAACGCATCTGGCAGGTGAGGCTAGGCTCATACTATTTTGTAATTGACCAATCAGTCCATGACGAGCGATGTGGTCAACAGTAAGCTGGCCACCTTTACTTTCCAGGACTTTCTTCTTCTTAAAGTCCATGCTGTGTGGTGTTGGTAATCATGTTTACAACCTTCTGTCTCATGTACTTTCAATCAACTCTGACACAGATGATTCTCCGTGCCATGGTGTCAAACTGTCCAGCATCTTTCCTCTCGATCTCCCTCCAACCTTCCTACTGTCACAATGTTCTCCAGTCTCATCACATCAGCAAAAAAATATAGATTGTCTCTTTCTGATGTGGGCAGTTAGTTCTCTTCATGAGTCAGTTTCTTTCAAGAAATCTTCATTGCTCTTTTTATGTGTCCAGGGTATTCTCATCATTCGTCTATAAAACCACATCTCCACAGCTTCCAAATATTTTGTCACTAATCTACCAACTGTCCATGATTTACTTCCATATATCAAGATAGGATTTATATAGCTTTTAAGAAGTCTCTTTCTCACCTCAATTGACAAAGAAAGAACTGCAGAAAATATTCTTCATTTTGTAAAATACTGCCTTTAAATGAACTATTCTACACTTAACTTCTTTAATACATCTTTTATCTGATGTTATCAGGGTACCCAAGAACTTGAACATATCAACTTGCCGGAAGTTTATCCCATTTACTTTGAAGTTGCATTCTTGAGGGTCAGTGTATCTTAAAAGAGTTACATCCTCCAATAAACGTAAAATTGTGACAACAGCTCTTAGAAGAGCTGCAGGAGTTTCAAGGAAAGACAGAATATGAAATCATGAAATCAGACCAATGTTAGGAATAAAGTCAGTCTTACAGAACATCAAAGAACAACAAATGAAGTCTGGTCATCTAACAAGAATGCCCTGGTACTGTCTGCCACAGAGAGCCACACTAAAATGTTACAATGGGTATAGAGCAAGTGGAAGACCCTGGAAAATATGGAGTGATAGCATTAAGAACAGCCTTACAGAAATGAACATCAATCTTGTGATAGCATTAAGAACAGCCTTACAGAAATGAACATCAATCTTAATAGGGCTCTTGACAGAGCTCATCAACAAATGTTACATTCCCCCCTCCTCCTTTCGCTGAGGTACAAGGTGGAAAAGAAAAAACATTTCTCTACAGACTTACCGACTTTAGCTTGAAGGGCACCAATTTCCTGGGTCAAGGTCTCCTCCAGAGTTGCTTTCTCCTGCTGCTCTCCCATCACCTGCGATTTTAAGAACACAATCTCACTCTTCAGCGTCTCCTCCGTGTGTTCCTTGGCTACTTTTGCTGAGATGATCTCTTCCCTGTACTTCAGAAGCAGCAGCTGCATCTCCTGCAAAAGGAATAATGTACCACATTTGTTTTAGTATAATACACCTCCGTGTGTAAGAAGACCCCTAGTTTTAGGCCCAAAATTAGGAAAGAAATATTTTATAAACACACTCCACTCAGTGCATAAGATGACGCCTGATTTAAAACTTAACAAATCTGGGAAACCACATCATCTTCTCCAGGGCCCCATCGTGGAGAAAACAACAAAAGATCCGCAACCTCTCCATCAAGCATGTCGTAGGACTCGACTAATTGGGGGCATCTTGCAAAATCAAAGCACATTTGTTAAAAAAACCACACACAAAATTGACTCCCTGCATTTAATTTCCCTAATAAGTTTATAGTTTTCAATCGTGTCTCGAGTAGGACAATGTTCTTTGACATTCTTTGCATTCTTCTAAAAAACTAACATGCAATTACTACATTAAAAAAAAACCTGACCGTCCCTTTTAATCTCTACATTATGACTGTCTCTTGTAATGGCTAAAATTCTGACCGTCCCTTTTAATCTCTGCATTATGACTGTCTCTTGTAATGGCTAAAATTCTGACCGTCCCTTTTAATCTCTGCATTATGACTGTCTCTTGTAATGGCTAAAATTCTGACCGTCCCTTTTAATCTCTGCATTTTGACTGTCTCTTGTAATGGCTAAAATTCTGACCGTCCCTTTTAATCTCTGCATTATGACTGTCTCTTGTAATGGCTAAAATTCTGACCGTCCCTTTTAATCTCTGCATTATGACTGTCTCTTGTAATGGCTAAAATTCTGACCGTCCCTTTTAATCTCTGCATTATGACTGTCTCTTGTAATGGCTACATTATCACTGTCCCTTTAATTGCTACATTTTCACTGTCTTTTTAATTTCTACATTTTTTACTGTCCCTTTAACTGCTACATTCTCATTGCCCCTTATAATTTCTACATTATCACTGTCCCTTTAACTGCTGCATTTTCACTGTGCCTTGTAATGGATACAATTTCAATGTCCCTTGTAATTGCTACATTCTCAATGCCTCTTGTAACTGCTACATTCTCACTGACTCTAGCTACATTCTCATTGCCTCTTGTAATTACTTCATTTTCGCTGACCAATTAAATTGAACAAAGAAGACACAAACAATAGACTACACAATTTATCGCCTGGCATATTTAGCTGTATCTAATCAGGCGCATACTACAGTAACAACATTAAAATAAAGCAAATAACTGAATCCTAGAAACAAAAAACAACAGCTGTCAAGGCAACAAACACAACAAATGTCGAAGCAACAAACACAACAACTGTCAAAGCAACAAACACAATAACAACTGTCGAAGCAACTAACACAACAACCATCAAAGCAACAAACACAACAACTGTCAAAGCAACAAACAAAACAAATGTCAAAGCAACAAACACAACAACTGTCAAAGCAACAGACACAACAACAACTGTCAAAGCAACAAACACAACAACTGTCAAAGCAACAAACACAACAACAACTGTCAAAGCAACAAACACAACAACTGTCAAAGCAACAGATACAACAACTGTCAAAGCAACAAACACAACAACAACTGTCAAAGCAACAGACACAACAACAACTGTCAAAGCAACAGATACAACAACAACTGTCAAAGCAACAGATACAACAACAACTGTCAAAGCAACAAACACAACAACAACTGTCAAAGCAACAGACACAACAACTGTCAAAGCAATAGACACAACAACTGTCAAAGCAATAGACACAACAACTGTCAAAGTAATAGACACAACAACTGTCAAAGTAATAGACACAACAACTGTCAAAGCAACAGACACAACAACTGTCAAAGGAACAAACACAACAACAACTGTCAAAGCAACAGACACAACAACTGTCAAAGCAACAAACACAACAACAACTGTCGAAGCAACAAACACAACAACCGTCAAAGCAACAAACACAACAACTGTCAAAGCAACAGACACAACAAATGTCAAAGCAACAAACACAACAACTGTCAAAGCAATAGACACAACAACAACTGTCAAAGCAACAAACACAACAACTGTCAAAGCAACAAACACAACAACAACTGTCAAAGCAGCAGATACAACAACAACTGTCAAAGCAACAAACACAACAACAACTGTCAAAGCAAATGACACAACAACTGTCAAAGCAACAAACACATCAACAACTGTCAAAGCAACAGAAACAACAACTGTCAAAGCAACAGACACAACAACTGTCAAAGCAACAGACACAACAACTGTCAAAGCAACAAACACAACAGCTTTCAAAGCAACAGACACAACAACTGTCAAAGCAACAGACACAACAACTGTCAAAGCAACAGACACAACAACAACTGTCAAAGCAACAGACACAACAGCTTTCAAAGCAACAAACACAACAACTGTCAAAGCAACAAACACAACAACTGTCAAAGCAACAGACACAACAACTGTCAAAGCAACAGACACAACAACTGTCAAAGCAACAGACACAACAACTGTCAAAGCAACAGACACAACAACTGTCAAAGCAACAGACACAACAACAACTGTCAAACAACAAACACAACAACTGTCAAAACAACAGATACAACAACAACCGTTGAAGCAACAGACACAACAACTGTCAAAGCAACAGACACAACAACTGTCAAAGCAACAGACACAAAAGCTGTCAAAGCAACAAACACAACAGTGTTCAAAGCAACAAGCAAAACAGCTGTCAAAGCAACAAATATAACAACAACAACAGCTGCCAAAGCAGCAAACCCAAGAGCTGTCAAAGCAACATACCCAAGAGCTGTCAAAGCAACAAACCTAACAGCTGTCAAAGCAACAAACCCAACAGCTGTCAAAGCAAAAAATACAACAACTGTCAAACCTCAAGATTATTAGGTAGATTGATGTCTTCATTCTGCAGCTGCTGTGCAGTTTTAGAATACTTGTCCACAAGACTGTCATTTTCCTCCTGTAGTTTGGTCAACTACGGATAGACAGAAAACCTCACTGTCAGGGTTTTCTCAGATAAACAGGTGTTGCCATGACAGGCAGCAGTCAATAAGAGAACAGGAATGGCTAAAACTGTTTTCATTAAGATGTGAAAATTAATTACAGCTAGAGAGATAAACAACATTATATAGGAGTGGCTAAAACTGTCTTCATTAAGATGTGAAAATTAATGACACCTAGAGAAATAAACATTATATAAGAGTGACTAAAACTGTCTTCATTAAGATGTGAAAATTAATGACAGCTAGAGAGATTAACAACATTACATAAGAGTGGCTAAAACAATCTTCATTAAGATGTGAAATTAAGGAACAGCTAGAGAGATAAACAACATTATATAAGAGTGACTAAAACTGTCTTCATTAAGATGTGAAAATTAATGACAGCTAGAGAGATAAGCAACTTTATACAGGAGTGGCTAAAACAATCTTCATTAAGATGTGAAAATTAATGACAGTATACAGTAATGGAACTCTGTGCTGGCTGCTGAAGATGAGGACAAAGCACGCATGGGAATGCCCCGAGTGCTGTGATATAAATTCTTGACTCAACTCAGCTCAGCCAGCTGTATGGTGCAGAAAGCTGGATAATGAATAAGCAACTAGAAAATCGAATGGAGTCTTCTGGAAATGTAGGTATACAGAAGAATAGGTCATATTTCATAGGAGAAAAAAGTTTTTAACAGCCTGCCAATGAAAGAGAGTTACTAAAAGGAAAAAAGATAATATTATTTCAGTCACATTAAAAGAATAACACTCTCTTATAAGCCATACTGGAGGAAACATTTGAAGGCAAAAGAGCAAGAGGTAAACAATAACAATACAAGTGGAAGGAGCACATACATAAATGGACTAACAGCAGTCAGAGAGCATACTACCAAGACAAGAGACACAAAGTACTACCAAGACAAGAGACACAGAGTACTACCAAGACAAGAGACACAGAGTACTACCAGGACAAGAGACCCAGAGTACTACCAAGACAAGACACACAGAGTACTACCAGGACAAGAGACACAGAGTACTACCAAGACAAGAGACACAAAGTACTACCAAGACAAGAGACACAGAGTACTACCAAGACAAGAGACACAGAGTACTACCAAGACAAGAGACACAAAGTACTACCAGGACAAGAGACACAGAGTACTACCAAGACAAGAGACACAAAGTACTACCAAGACAAGAGACACAGAGTACTACCAAGACAAGAGACACAGAGTACTACCAAGACAAGAGACACAGAGTACTACCAGGACAAGAGACACAGAGTACTACCAAGACAAGAGACACAAAGTACTACCAAGACAAGAGACACAGAGTACTACCAAGACAAGAGACACAGAGTACTACCAAGACAAGAGACACAAAGTACTACCAGGACAAGAGACACAGAGTACTACCAAGACAAGAGACACAAAGTACTACCAAGACAAGAGACACAGAGTACTACCAAGACAAGAGACACAGAGTACTACCAAGACAAGAGACACAGAGTACTACCAGGACAAGAGACACAAAGTACTACCAGGACAAGAGACACAGAGTACTACCAAGACAAGAGACACAGAGTACTACCAAGACAAGAGACACAGAGTACTACCAGGACAAGAGACACAGAGTACTACCAAGACAAGAGACACAGAGTACTACCAAGACAAGAGACACAGAGTACTACCAGGACAAGAGACACAAAGTACTACCAGGACAAGAGACACAGAGTACTACCAAGACAAGAGACACAGAGTACTACCAAGACAAGAGACACAGAGTACTACCAGGACAAGAGACACAGAGTACTACCAAGACAAGAGACACAGAGTACTACCAAGACAAGAGACACAGAGTACTACCAGGACAAGAGACACAAAGTACTACCAGGACAAGAGACACAGAGTACTACCAAGACAAGAGACAGAGTACTACCAAGACAAGAGACACAGAGTACTACCAGGACAAGAGACACAGAGTACTACAGAGACAAGAGACACAGAGTACTACCAGGACAAGAGACACAGAGTACTACCAAGACAAGAGACACAGAGTACTACCAGGACAAGAGACACAGAGTACTACCAGGACAAGAGACACAGAGTACTACCGAGACAAGAGACTCAGAGTACTACCAAGACAAGAGACACAGAGTACTACCAGGACAAGAGACACAAAGTACTACCGGGACAAGAGACACAAAGTACTACCAGGACAAGAGACACAGAGTACTACCATGACAAGACACTCAGAGTACTACCAAGACAAGAGACTCAGAGTACTACCAAGACAAGAGACACAGAGTACTAGCAAGACAAGAGACACAGAGTACTACCAAGACAAGAGACACAGAGTACTACCAAGACAAGAGACACAGAGTACTACCAAGACAAGAGACACAGAGTACTACCAGGACAAGAGACACAGAGTACTACCAAGACAAGAGACACAGAGTACTACCAAGACAAGAGACACAGAGTACTACCAAGACAAGAGACACAGAGTACTACCAAGACAAGAGACACAGAGTACTACCAGGACAAGAGACACAGAGTACTACCAGGACAAGAGACACAGAGTACTACCAGGACAAGAGACACAGAGTACTACCAGGACAAGAGACACAGAGTACTACCAAGACAAGAGACACAGAGTACTACCAAGACAAGAGACACAGAGTACTACCAAGACAAGAGACACAGAGTACTACCAAGACAAGAGACACAGAGTACTACCAAGACAAGAGACACAGAGTACTACCAGGACAAGAGACACAGAGTACTACCAAGACAAGAGACACAGAGTACTACCAAGACAAGAGACCCATAGTTCTACCAGGACAAGAGACACAGAGTACTACCAAGACAAGAGACACAGAGTACTACCAGGACAAGAGACCCATAGTACTACCAGGACAAGAGACACAGAGTACTACCAGGACAAGAGACACAGAGTACTACCAAGGCAAGAGACACAGAGTACTACCAAGACAAGAGACACAGAGTACTACCAGGACAAGAGACACAGAGTACTACCAGGACAAGAGACACAGAGTACTACCAGGACAAGAGACACAGAGTACTACCAAGACAAGAGACACAGAGTACTACCAAGACAAGAGACACAGAGTACTACCAAGACAAGAGACACAGAGTACTACCAAGACAAGAGACACAGAGTACTACCAAGACAAGAGACACAGAGTACTACCAAGACAAGAGACACAGAGTACTACCAGGACAAGAGACACAGAGTACTACCAGGACAAGAGACACAGAGTACTACTAAGACAAGAAACACAGAGTACTACCAAGACAAGAGACACAGAGTACTACTAAGACAAGAAACACAGAGTACTACCAAGACAAGAGACACAGAGTACTACCAAGACAAGAGACACAGAGTACTACCAAGACAAGAGACACAGAGTACTACCAAGACAAGAGACACAGAGTACTACCAGGACAAGAGACACAGAGTACTACCAGGACAAGAGACACAGAGTACTACCAGGACAAGAGACACAGAGTACTACCAAGACAAGAGACACAGAGTACTACCAAGACAAGAGACACAGAGTACTACCAAGACAAGAGACACAGAGTATTACCAAGACAAGAGACACAGAGTACTACCAAGACAAGAGACACAGAGTACTACCAAGACAAGAGACACAGAGTACTACCAAGACAAGAGACACAGAGTACTACCAGGACAAGAGACACAGAGTACTACCAGGACAAGAGACACAGAGTACTACTAAGACAAGAAACACAGAGTACTACCAAGACAAGAGACACAGAGTACTACTAAGACAAGAAACACAGAGTACTACCAAGACAAGAGACACAGAGTACTACCAGGACAAGAGACACAGAGTACTACCAAGACAAGAGACACAGAGTACTACCAAGACAAGAGACACAGAGTACTACCAAGACAAGAGACACAGAGTACTACCAAGACAAGAGACACAGAGTACTACCAAGACAAGAGACACAGAGTACTACCAAGACAAGAGACACAGAGTACTACCAAGACAAGAGACACAGAGTACTACCAAGACAAGAGACACAGAGTACTACCAGGACAAGGGACACAGAGTACTACCAGGACAAGAGACACAGAGTACTACCAAGACAAGAGACACAGAGTTCTAGCAAGACAAGAGACACAGAGTACTAGCAAGACAAGAGACACAGAGTACTACCAGGACAAGAGACACAGAGTACTACCAAGACAAGAGACACAGAGTACTACCAAGACAAGAGACACAGAGTACTACCAAGACAAGAGACACAGAGTACTACCAAGACAAGAGACACAGAGTACTACCAAGACAAGAGACACAGAGTACTACCAAGACAAGAGAGACAGAGTACTACCAAGACAAGAGACACAGAGTGTTAGAGATCCATTGGCAGCCAACCTTCACTGTGGAGATGGCACCTGACTGACTGATGAGAATGAGATTTTATGTTAGTCCTTAATGTGAGACTGGACATTCTATTTCTTTTTCTGTGGTCATACTTAAAAGTGCTGTTGGCACATTGTCTTGTGGTCTATAAAAACACTTAAAGAATATTTTGGCTTGCTTACTAACTGTCCTGGATACACTGACATATGTTGAGATCGATATGGGGGTGCAACCTGGAGCAGCAAGAAATTAACATTTCACTAAGGGGAAGACGTCTGATTAATCAACACAGAACAGGCATCTTCAGTTTTTTTAACACTGGTGGAACTTTTGAGGAGGTTTCGGGGAACCTATTGAACTAACTGGAGAGCTGTGATGATAATCCTTGCCTTATCACTCCTCATGTGGGATTCAGGATCCCACTGTGAGGGAACACAGAACAGACCCACTGCCACTCTAACAAGCATACTGTAAAAGCCAACTAATATCCAGGATCCCACTGCGAGGGAACACATAACAGACCCTCTGCCACTCTAACAAGCATACCGTAAAAGCCAACTAATATCCAGGATCCCACTGCGAGGGAACACAGAACAGACCCACAGTTACTTTAACAAGCACACTGTAAAAGCCAACTAATATCCAGGATCCCACAACATACCCACAGTCACTTTAACAAGCATACTGTAAATAGCCAACTAATTAGGGTTGTTTTCTTCACAGTGTTTCTGCCTGAGAGACGAGGAACCAACAGTCTGCATAAAAGTGAGCATGATCTCTAAAACAGATGTGTATGCAAAACTCAAGTTCTGGAACAAGACCAGAACTTTCCGCCCGAGTTTACAGCCGGTGAATAGGTTAGTTGTGTATCCTTTACAGGACGATGCAGAACCAACCTCAACAGCCCCTGGCTGTTGTGTGGTTTTTCTAGGCAAATTTACATCCAGTAGTTTTGCCATTGCTTTCTGGACGGTTGGCTTTCTTGATACCATTGTCGAAACCAACGCAAGGCCCACAGCTGGAATCGAACCGGGGATCCCGGCATACTGAAGCGTTCGCATCAACTTAGCCACAGAGCTGACACAGCCGGTGAAAACTAAGAAGAAAAAGTGTCCTACTCTGCCATGCTGTAAATATTGGCCAAAAAAAAACAAAAAACAAAACAAAAACCCTAAGCCAGATCAAAGCAGAAATAAATGAAGAAAGTCAAGTAACTGCTTACCTCTCTTTGAACTTCCTCTCTGTTTTCAGTTAATGATTTCTGCAAGACAGTAGAGGGGTAAGACATATGAATTTGATTAGCACAGAATTAAAACCATTTGTTAAAAAAACATGGCCGCTATTGCTTGTATTTACCACTTTTGCAGTGTAAGCAAAGCCTTTGAGCCTGAGGATTTAGGGCCGCGTGGCTAGTGCTGTCGCCACGTACTGTGCAGGGTAGGATTTTACTTTTGAAAACCCCTAACTTTACTGAGAATTCAAACCTGCGCCTCCTGCATAGGAGCCCTTTGATCTTAACAGTTTAGCCAGCTGCTCCTCTTAATTATTAATAATTAATATAACATAATTAATTAAGAGAATTGTTAATTATTATAAATTAAAAGTTGAGGACTCTCGTCACAACACTAGTGGATTGGGTATATGATGCCAGTCTCATATTTTTACGGACCAACTGGCAGCTGACGGGTGATGTGGTCCTGCTACCCATTCTAGACTGGGTCAACCTGGTAGCCCAAGGTCAGTCTGCCTTGACAGGGAAGCCAACCCAAGACTTTTAGATCAACAGTCAAGCCATCCAGACCAACGGTTTCCAACCAATGGATGGTGACCCAAAATGAGGTCACAAAGGGCTTTCTGTAGGGTCGCCGGGCAGCGGTGAGCAACGACAAGGATTCTGTGCTTCTTCCATTGAAAATCAAACCAAGAAACAGATTTAATGTTTAGAATGAGGCTGGCCATAGCAAAAACTTCACAGCACATTTATAAGATTGTTTGAGGTTTGAACAACGGATCGACATCATGGCACACGGGTAGTAACCCATAAGGGCTCTGTTCTTCTTCCAACTCAAGTCTGAGTCTGAAGAAGCTCAGCACAGTGCACAAGCTCTGTAGCACGGGCGAGGACACTGAAATACTTTGGGTAGATGTTTAACTCCAAGTTTTGCCCGGGCAGCGCCATTAGGCTTCTCTTTTTGATTTCCAACTGCCAAGGGATTTTTTACGTGCGCAACAATGCACACAGGCGTCTGATCTCACTATCCAGAGACCAGAGGGAATTACTAAATTACACACACTGAGAAAACAGGAGAACAGCATAACTAGAATGTCTTTGCATTGGAATCTACAGGGGCATAGGAATAAAGGAAGGCCAAAAGGACAAGTTAACATGGAAAAATCTCAGCCCTTACCAGGGATTAAACCCGGAACCTCTAGCACTCAAGGCGGACACCATGTCTCGAGACCACACAGGTTTGTTAATTTCTGTCAGTTTCATTAATCACACTCAATATTAACATCATCCTTTGTGTGCCGTTAGATGTCATATAGGGCTCACATTCGATTCCTCCACTCTGCTCTATCTCATGCAACTGTCTCGATTTCTGACATGAAGTTCAGCCCAGCATTTTTAGTCTCTTGTAACAATGTTCTTCTTAATGTTTCCCTTGGACATCCTTGACTCAAAAAAAGGAACCTCTGATCTAGCCCCTCATACCCTACCTTTCAGACTGAAATTAGACATTGGAACTGAAAAAGCTGAAGATATTTATCTACTTTAAAAAGAAATAAGACAATGAGACTGAAAAAGCTGAAGACATTAATCTACTTTTAAAGTGAAATAATAAAAATTTTTTAATTCTAATGTCAAATCAGTACTATGGAGAAGAGAGCTGGAGAATGAAGTTGGAAAGATGAGGAGGACATGGGGAGAGCTCCATGCAATGGCGAAGGATAGAACGACTTGGCGTGAGTTGGTTGAGGGTCTATGCTCCATTGGGAGATAGAAAGGCAGAAGAAGAAGAAAGTGAAATAAGACAATGAGATTGAAAAAGCTGAAGACTTTTATCTAACTCAAAAGAGAAATTTTTGTTATTGATTCAGCAGCACATGAACTTTCACCCTTTGGTACTAAAAGAGAAAAAGGACAACGTGACTCACACAGTGATCCTGCAGCTGTAGATGTGTTGTGGACATCTGCTCCTTGAAATCCTTCAGGTAGTTTTCACAGTCCATCAACCTGTTAGTCAGGTGTGTGATCTACATACAAACAAACAGAAAACCCATTACAGTAATTAAAAAAATATATGGTAGTCTGGTAGTCCTAGTTTCAGCTTCATAGCAAATGGGTCACCTCATCTTTGCTCCGCTCCCGTGCCAACGAAAAACACACAGAATATTTATCACAGTCCCTTGTGGAAAGATTGACAGACTGCTGTCTCAGCATATCCAGCATTCACTCGCATTAAAGCATATGGTAACCGGCCGAAGTGCTAACACAAACAGTCTGACATTAGAAATGCAGTTCATCATTGATTGTAGCAGAAGTCACCAACAGATCTGCAGTTGCCCACGCGATCAATTTTAATCACATACGGACACCACCAAAATTGCGACGACAGGCTACGCGCCATTTTCTGAATCTTCAATTCACACCACCACGTTGGTCACAGTCGAAAAAAAACACATTCCAAATGAAATCTGCAGCTCACAGTGTCACGCCATGCATTCAACTCAGAAGCTGGGCGACGAAACTATATCCAGTCTACAAATGGAACAAAAATGCATCGGCCACCGTCCGGCAGAAGCAAAAAATTTGCCTCAGCTCCAAAGACAGTGGCCCGCCTAGCGTCCATTTTGACCGGAATTAAAATTGACTGGATTAAAGAATATATATGTATTTGAAGAAAGAAGCCTGGAACAATTAACGGAGTATTACATATATAACAATGAAGAGAATTTTTTATGACAATAATTTACAACGGTAAAGGGTGAAAGTATTCTACAACTAAAGAAGTAATTTACAACAGTGAAGAAGTCTTCTACAACAATGAAACAATTACAATAAAACAGTGAAAAGGATTCTACAACAATGAAGGGAGTAATCTAGAATAGTGAACAACAGTGAGGGGAGTGTTCTTTAACTATGACAGGAGTAATCTACAACAGAGAAGGGAGTATCTTCAACAATGAAGGGAGTAATCTACAACAGTGAAGGGAGTAATCTACAACAGTGAAGAGAGTATTCTACAACAATGAATGGAGTATTCTACAACAGTGAAGGGAGTAATCTTCAACAATGAAGGGAGTAATCTACAACAGTGAAGGGAGTAATCTACAACAGTGAAGGAAGTAATCTACAACAGTGAAGGGAGTATTCTACAACAGTGAAGGGAGTAATCTACAACAGTGAAGGGAGTAATCTACAAACATGAAGGGAGTAATCTATAGCAGAGAAGGGAGTAGTCTACAACAATGAAGGAAGTCATCTGCAACAGAGAAGAGAGTATTCTACAACAATGAAAAGTGTAATCTTTAACACTGATGGGTGAATTCTACAATAATGAGCGTTTATGCACAAGAAGTGACATCAAAGTACTAGGGACATCTACGTAAGTGCCCCATCCTCATCTTCAGCAGCCAGTGAGGAATTCTAGTTCTGATGTTGCTAGTAGCAGTTTGATTATATGTTCATCTAGCCTTTCCCCTGAGTGTAGCATATCAACAAGATCCCCAGGTCACTCCTAGCCTCACCATTCTTTCCAGACCACAATCAACCAGATCCCCAGGTCACTCCTAGCCTCACCATTCTCTCCAGACCACAATCAACCAGATCCCCAGGTCACTCCTAGCTTCACCATTCTCTTGAACAATCACATCATTTGGGTGTGAATTATGGTGAGTCAATCACTGAATTTTTATTCTGCAGTGCCTACTGGTCGATCCCTGCAATCCCAGTCAAGTGTGATTAGAACCCTTCAAAATCTGTTTTTCTGTTGTTGTTGCTCTGACTATGACTGGCTCCAGCTGACGAGCTGTGTTGCTCATGTCACCAGGTCGAGTTAACGATGCGTTAACGCAGCAGTTCTCAAACAAGAAATAAACTATTTTCAACAGCGGCAAGGGAAGACAACTTACATTTAAACTTTCAATTATCAACATGCCTTCTTTAATAATTTCACAACTTTTAGCCGACTTTTCTTGATAATTGCTGTGGAACCCCTGGCATATGCTTACGGCACCCCAGGGCGCCTCGGCACCCAGTTTGAGAACCGCTGCGTTAATGCATCGTTAGCCCGACCCAGTGACGTCAGCAGCACGGCCCTCAGCTGGAGCCGGTCGTGATCTGACCGACTCCTTTCCTCTTGAATTTTTCTAGCGTACACACATCTAAAATTGTGTCTTCTGCTTGTGCCACCCACGACTTCCCTTTTATCAGCTTGTGACCTTCAGCTGTATCGAGGGCCTCATGAAGAGGATAGTTCCCTGAGGTATGCCCTGACTTGCAGCAGTACAAGGATGTATCACATACAGACTACTGGGCTGTCTCTTCTACATACTTGAATCATCCACATGGCTTCATTCTGTATGAGTTCAAGCTTCACCAGCAGCCCCAGTCCATAATCCATCACAGAAATAATCAAGTGCTGGTACATTATGAACATAATTTGTTTGCTCTATGTAAATTGCTGTCATAATGTTTAGTGCACTGAGTCAGCTTTGGTATTCTGCTGCAACTGCCTCCATATGGTCCCTGAATGGCAGGTTCTTATTGAAGGTGATACCCAGGTACCACTGTTTGCCTTCTCTTTTGCTGTTTCTATTGCATACCATGAGGCTTGGGGCATTAACTGTAACCATTCTATTGTCCAGAAAACACCATAAAACCACCACTTTTTCCTCACACCAGCCAGTCACTTTACCCACTTTTGCTGGTCGCTCTTGAGCTGTCTGTTGCCTATCTCTCCCCTGCCTATACCCAAGACTATCATCTAGAAATGTTAATATCCTCGCTACACCAGGTGCTCCATGTTCTGCAATCGTACAAATACTGAAGAGCAGAGGTGAAACTGTAGATCCCTGTGGTGGTCATGTTCCCTGTGGCAGCTGCATGGCTCTGAGACCATGTACCCAGACAAAGGGCAACCTTCTGGGAGTACATGACCTCTATCCAGTTAACTAGCCAGGGTATAACTCTCTTCTCTATAAAGGTGGACATTTACAACAACAAAAGAAGTAATCTACAACACTGAAAGAGATATTCACATGTACTCTAATGCTTCTTGCTCTCTCTTTGTTGTTGTCGCCACTTCTGCTTTTCAGCGTTGGTCTCCCTTGATCGCATCAACACTTTTCAGGGCTACCTGGTGGCTAGCAATGCTAAGCCATTTTATATGGTGTGCATAAACCTAGTCACAATTATAACCAAAAGCCCCCCCCCCCCCCCCCCCCCCACTCTCTTGGGAAGGATGCTGGTTGAAAGTGTCAAGTATTTTCTTTTTTTTTTCTTCGTCAAAAAAGCAAATAAAGTCCTGTTAAGTTCTGTGTTTCAGCATCTCCTATGACAAACACTGATGTACATGGAAACCATATACAGAAAACCATATACAGATCAACACCCCCCCCCCCCCACTCCTCCACAGCTGAAGCACTCTTACCTGCGACTGTGCATCCTCTGCTGCATTTTTCAGCGCCTCTTCAAGCTCCGACTGATACTTGAGCAAATTCTTGTTGGTCTGCTGCTCTGAAGAGTATGCTCTCTCCAATCGTATAAGCTCAGACTTTGCAGCCTTCAGCTCCTCTTGTATGGTCTGCAGCTGGACTTCATAGTTGGAACACATTGTGCATGGCCGACCCAGGTTCTCTCTTGAAGCTCTCATCTGATGGGATATGTCAATGGACATGCATTCAAAGTCAACAAAACAAAAATCTTTGCATGTATTCGCCATCATTATGTGCCATTTGTTACCAGGGTCCTTAGAAAGAGTAGAAAAATAGTGCAACACTGCATCCTACCCGTTGAGTTGAGTCAAGAATTGACATCACAGCACTCGGGCATTCCCATGTGTGCTCTGTCCTCATCTTCAGCAGCCAGCGCAGAGTTCCAATACTGATGGAACCGGTCACAATCTGGTTATATGTCAGCCTTGCCTTTCCTCTGAGTGTAGTGAGCTGTCCAGACCCTCTGGTTAAACCCAGGTGCCTCATTCTCTCCAGGCCATAATAATCTTGTTTCACTACTGAACATTCCCACGCATGCTCCGTCAGTGCCAGCGCAGAGATCCAATACTGCATCCTACCAGGGGAGCCACAGTGGTTTAGTGATTTGGTGCTGGCCTCTGGCCCAAAAGTTGTAGGCTCAAATCTGCATTCAGCTGGATCTTTTCAAAAACTGACCCTGGCTCCAATGTTGACCCAGTCTAAAACAGGTACCAGGTAAACTCCTGGGAAGTAAAGGTGGCTGGCACAATGCTGACCACATCTCTGAGTGCCGAATGGTCTATAAAATACAGGTCTTGTACTACATGGCCAGTTCACCTAGTGGCGTGGAAAAGGGCCCTTTTACACTGTATCAAATATTCTTCTTCTTCGTGTTCACCAGCTGTAAACTCTGGCGGAAAGTTCTGGTTGTTCATCCACTTCTGGACTGCAGTCATGTTCCAGAACCTGAGTGTTGCGTGTGCATCCGTTTTACAGATCTGACTCATTTGTATGTAGACTGCTGGTTCCTTGCCTCTCAGGCAGATGTACTCCGACTTTGAAGGAAGCTCCCAATTAGTCGACTCTTACGACATGCTTTTTTGATAGGCAGTGGGTCTATTATTTGTTCTCCCTATAATGGGGCCCCAGAACCCACACGGGGAATATCAAGTATTCAAACGCAGCTTCTGTTTCAAGTACATTCAATCGTTTCTGACACAGGTGATCTTCCATGCCATGATGCCAATCAAGCATCTTCTCTCATGGAGCACATGGTGAGTTATGATTCGATTGCAAAGACTCCAGAAGAATCTGGAATGACAACAAAGAAATGTACAAGACTAAGTTATCATTCACTTGTTCATCAAGCGAAAAATTGCGGGTTTTGTGTGTTATGCTTCTAGTAATACACCACAATGACCCTACTGGGTCAAGGGTTATGTTACGCTCTCTCGTAGTCTACCTCCAACATTTTTGTTGTCACAATATACTCCAGCTTTCCCCTTCTCAAAATGTGACCTTAAAATTTATACCGTCCCCTTCAGACAAAGTACATTTGCAGAAGAAGAAACCCGACTTGAAAACTTAGTTCAAAAACAACATCACAGCATGCAGGATATTCCCATAAGTGATCCACCTCCATCTTCAGCAGCCAGTGCAGAGTTTCAATTCCAATGGTACTGGCAACAGCCACTAGAGGCAGCCTGACTGGACTGTAGGCCTGCCTTTCCTTTTCCCTGAGTGCCAGCTGGACCAGCTTGTTACTCCCCATTGCAAACTCTCTTCAGACCGTCATGATCTCTTTGTGCCTCTTCACTGTTCCCTCACCCTCAAAGAACCTTGGCAACTTCTAGCTCGTCATGCACCTATTCACCACCAAGTGGTGCAGAACTAGCCAGTCTGTCTGCCTGTCTATTTCCCAGAACAGCTGCATGCCCTGGAGCTTCTCAACAAAGCTGGTTGGCTTGTAGTGCATCCATACCTGTCAGTGGGGATATGATATGGTAAAGTCTCAACATCTTAAATAGTGAGACTGCTGTATCCTGTCTGAAAGCCACCCAAAGGTCTTTTCTTAAATCGCCTATAGTGAAAATCAAACCCTGGTTCAGAGGATCCATCATCATCATCAAGTACCTTGCCAGCTTGCATAGGTGTTCATGCATCTCCAGAGATCTCATCTTAAGGATCAATTCCACTAATGATATTCCTCCATGTCCCTGTCTCAAGTTATCCAATACAATTTCAATTGGTCTGCCTCTTCTACCAGTCATCTTTCCAGTTGTCACGATATTTTCCAGTGCTCCTTTTCTCATCAAATGACCAAAGAACTTTGTTTTTCTGCTTTTCATTGTTGTATATAATGTTCTACTTCCATTAGCAGTTTTCAGGCAATCATTGTTAGTTATTCTGGCAATCCAAGGTATTTGCAACATTCACATCTTAGGTGCCTCAAAACTCTACATTTGTTTGTTTGCTTACATTCCAAGATTCACTGCCATTCAACAGAACAGGCTCGATGAAACATTTCAGTACTCCTCTTAGGATGTTTTATGAAAGTCATTTTTACATAAGATACTTTTCATCTCATGAAATGCTGCCTTTGCTTGACCAATTCTGCTCTTAATTTATGTCACACATCATACATCTTATGTTATGAATGTCCCCATAGAGGATTGCACTGTGAAATTTGTTTTTACCAACTTCAAAGCCCCATTTTTCAAATTAAATTCCACAAATTAAATTTCTATTTAGTTACTTGTAATGAAACCAGGCCAGCACTTCCTTACCTCTGCTTGAAGGAGAGCCCATTCCTTTTCACTGACCAATCGCTTGCCTTCTAGGTTGAGCTTGCTTGAACCAGTCTTTGACTTGAGGCTGGCCACCAAGGATTTGTAGGCTTCTGTTTCTGGGGTCGGATCTAGCAGCAAACAAAAATGAATGAGAGAATGAAAGAGAGGAGAGAATGAGAGAGAGAGAGAGAGGGGGGGGAGGGGGGGGGGGGGGGGGGGGGGGGGGGGGAGAGAGAGAGGGAGGGGGAAGAGAGAGAGAGAGGGGGGGAGAGAGAGAGGGAGGGGGGAGAGAGGGAGGGGGAGAGAGGGAGGGGGAGAGGGAGGGAGAGAGAGAGAGAAAGAGAGGGAGAGAGAGAGAGAGACAGGGGGGAGAGAGAGGGCGGGGGATAGGGAGGGAGGGGGGAGAGAGAGAGAGAGGGAGATAGAGAGAGAGATAGATTTTCAGGGTTTTTACATTAAAAAGGAACAAAATATCAGGACTGGATCTCAGAATGAAAATATTGTTTGATCTTAGAACAATCAAGAACAAAGTTTGTGGAGTCGGATATCAGGATATGATACCAACAACACGAGCTTTAGAATAAAATACTAACAACAAGGCTGATCTTTAGAATAAAATACTAACAACACGGTTATCCACACATGATGTTATAGTCTGTTTCTTAATTACTGTTAGAAACTATTCTATCAGCACTGCGAAGAGCTGTTACATAAACAATGTCACAAGCTATTACATAAATAATGTGACAAGCTATTACATAAATAATGTGACAAGCTATTACATAAATACTGTGAGAAGCTATTACATAAATACTGTGACAAGCTATTACATAAATACTGTGAGAAGCTATTACATAAATACTGTGAGAAGCTATTACATAAATACTGCGAGAAGCTATTACATAAATACTGTGAAAAGCTATTACATAAATACTGTGACAAGCTATTACATAAATACTGTGAGAAGCTATTACATAAATACTGTGAGAAGCTATTACATAAATACTGCGAGAAGCTATTACATAAATACTGTGAAAAGCTATTACATAAATACTGTGACAAGCTATTACATAAATACTGTGACAAGCTATTACATAAATAATGTGACAAGCTATTACATAAATAATGTGACAAGCTATTACATAAATACTGTGAAAAGCTATTACATAAATACTGTGAAAAGCTATTACATAAATACTGTGACAAGCTATTACATAAATACTGTCACAAGCTATTACATAAATACTGTGACAAGCTATTACATAAATACTATGACAAGCTATTGCTTGTTACCTCGTCCCATAGATAATCTTACGCCAAGCTCATTTTCTCATCCTTCTCCTTGTGATTTTGCAATGAAGCCTCGTCCATTTTTTTCTGTCCCTGGCCACTGACCCAGCAGTGTATATAATCACATCTCCTGGCCAGAGTTGTCCTCTATTAGCTCCTGAATCTCTGTGTCTGTACATCCCATTGCTCATTCCCTTCTTCTTCTTTTCCTCCTTGTACCTCATCGAAGTTTCGGGGTGAGCTGTAACGTTCGTTGATGAGCTCTGTCAAGAGCACTATTAAGACTGATCTTCATTTCTGTAAGGCTGTTCTTAATGCCATCACTCCATATTTTCCGAGGTCTTCCACTTGCTCTATAACCGTTGTAACTTTTTAGTGTGGCTCGCTGTGGCATATAGTACCAGGGCATTCTTGTTAGGTGTCCAAACCACTTCATTTGTTGTTCTTTGATGACCTGTAAGACTGGAATTATTCAAAGCATTTGTCTGATTTCGTATTCTGCCTTTCCTTGAAACTCCTGCAGCTCTTCTAAGGCTGTCACAATGTTTTCATTGGAGGATGTAAGTGTCCACGTTTGGCACTGACAGCATAGTGTTGGCTAAAAATAGTTCTGATAAGATTCACTTTTGTACTCCGGGGTATCTGCTTGCCTGTCAACAGGGAAGATAGTTGCCCCATTACTTGATTAGCTTTGGCACACCTCTAGCTAATTTCTCTGTCTAGTTTTCTGTCGGATGCGAAAATTGCTCATTCCCTGCATTTCTGTAACAAGGTAATTACCACTTTGTGCAACTCTTCTCTGCCCTTGGTACTTTTACCTATTTCTCTCCTCTGCTAATCTCTTTAATGCTGTTGCCACTTTGTGCAACTCTTCTCTGCCCTCTGGTACTTTTACCTATTTCTCTCCTCTGCTAATCTCTTTAATGTTGTTGCCACGTTGTAAAACTCTTTTCTGCCCTCTGGTACTTTTTCTATTTCTCTCCTCAGCCAATCTCTTTAATGTTTTAGCCATCTTGTGCAACTCTTCTCGGCCCTCTAGCACTTTAATCTATTTTTCTCCTCGGCTATTGTCTTTAATGCTGTTGCCACTTTGTGCAACTCTTCTCTGCCCTTTTGTACTTTTACCTATTTCTTTCCTCAGCTAATCTCTTTAAAGTTGCAGATGACCTCAGCATAAAATGGAATAGAAGCGGACACCACAGACTTCTACTTGCCTGGGAGCCAGCCGCAAACACATGTCATGACTGTAGGGACTTACAAAGCATGTTGAGAAAGAAGAAGACATGCATGCTTTGTGTAGAGTGTCAAGCATTACTTTAGAGGTCAAAGACAGTGAGTGTCCTGATATTTCTCCAGGTGTGTTGGGAAATGAACAGCCAGCCAGACTGGCTGGTTCTGCACCATTCGGTAGCAAAGTGATGCAGGAAAAGGTAACAGTGAATATACAGTACAGACTGGAAAAAATGGTGCAATGGGGAGTGATCGGGGGATCTGACCAACATTCCCCCCTTAGATGAAAGGCCAGTCATAGATATAATAATCAAACTCCTACTAGCACCACTGGTACTGAAGCTTTGCAATGGCTGCTGAAGTTGGGAACATAGCACTTATGGCAGTGTCCTGTATCACCCACTCAACCAGTGCCATCTTAACAGCATCAAAGACCTCTGGGCAAAAGCAGGGTATGAGGCCCTGCCCACACAGCCACTCACACCCTCATCATCAATCAGCAGGCCATTTAAAGAACGTCACTCTCATCACAGCACACTTGTAAGTCTCTCTTTCTCCAGCCTTATATGCTTTCATTTTCATAACCAATGCATCTTCAGCGTTATATATGCACATTTGTGAAGGTCTGCCTCTGTCTCCAGGAAAGTACCCCCCATTACCGTTCTCTCCAGGCCATCATGACCTTTAACACGGCCAAAGTAGATCAGTGTTTGTGACAGGATGCTGTTTATGAGCCGTCTCCTCGATGCTCACATCATGCAGGATCACAGGAACAAAAAGGTAAATTAACCACAAAATAAAACAACCATAGGTTGTCCCTACCAACGTGGGAATTGAATGATGTCCATCAGGTTCATGTGTTTAAAAAAAAAAGTGTTCCTAACTTGAGAAGCATGTCATGCGGCTGCTGCCAGAAGTGAAAACAAACATCTAATGCTGCAGGGACATTGAAGGTCCCACCAATGTCCACCTACCCGTGATAGACTTCAACTGTGCAGCAGTTAGAGATGGGAGGTTCAATACTTTCTCGGGGCTGATCCTAATGGTCGTCATGCCTTCTATACTTTCCCTTCTGTCTCCTGCAACACGGTTTCAATATGGTGATAGGTGGACAGTGTGGTGATATGGTGAAACTATGGTGATATGCTGACAATGTGGTGATCTTGTAATGATATAGTAAAACTATTGTGATAAGCTGACAGTGTAATGATATGGTGAAACTATGGTGAAAGGCTGACAGTGTGGTGATAACATGGTGAAAGGCTGACAGTGTGGTGATAACATGGTGATAGCCTGACAGTGTAATGATATGGTGAAACTATGGTGTTAGGCTAACAGTGTGGTGATAACATGGTGATAGGCTGACAGTGTAATGATATGGTGAAACTATGGTGAAAGGCTGACAGTGTAATGATATGGTGAAAGGCTGACAGTGTGGTGATAATGTAATGAAATGGTGAAACTATGGTGATATGTTGACAGTGTGATAATAATGTAATGATATAGTAAAACTATTGTGATAAGCTGACAGTGTAATGATATGGTGAAACTATGGTGATGTGCTGACAATGTGGTGATAACATGGTGATAGGCTGACAGTGTAATGATATGGTGAAAGGCTGACAGTGTGGTGATAATGTAATGAAATGGTGAAACTATGGTGATATGTTGACAGTGTGATAATAATGTAATGATATAGTGAAATTATGGTAATATGCTGACAGTGTGGTGACACTATAGTGATAATAAGTGCTCAATCCAACATGGTGACAATATGTTCTAGACAGAATAGAGACAGTTTGGCACAGCTAGTAAACATGTGCTGAAGCAAACATGGTGACAATATGTTCTAGCAAGAATAGTGACAGTTTGGTAGAGCTAGTGAAAATACGCTGAAGCCAAAATGGGGACAATATGCTCTAGCCAGAATAGTGACAATTTGATAGAGCTAGTGAAAATAAGGTGAAGCCAACGTAGTGACAATATGCTCTAGCCAGAATAGTGACAATCTGGTACAATAGTGAAAATACACTGAAGACAACATGATGACAATATGTTCTAGTGACAATCTGGTAGAGCTGAAACAGTGAAAATACGGTGAAGCCAACATAGTGACAAAATACAGGTGTCAAAAGAGAAAAATTACGAAGAGGTGGACTGAAGAGAAAAATCATAGAGGAAGAATGGCAGGAGGAAAAAGGAGAAAAACAAGAGAAATAAATATTAAATCGAAATCATTTTTACGTTAGAAATGATTGTATAACTTGACTGGTTCAGTATCCAATCATTCCTGTGTGGGTTCAGGAGTCTAATTGTTTATGGGACAGGGGGAGGAACAGACATTCAGTACTTAATAAACATGGCCACAAGCCACTAATTAAGGGTCTGCCTCAATTGGATGTGTTGGGCTAAAATGTGCAGATATCACAGCCTAGCATGAAAAGAGATATCACAGCCTAGCATGAAAAGAGATATCGCAGCCTAGCATGAAAAGAGATATCGCAGCCTGGCATGAAAAGAGATATCACAGCCTAGCATGAAAAGAGATATCGCAGCCTAGCATGAAAAGAGATATCACAGCCTAGTTATGAAAAGACATATCGCAGCCTAGCTATGTAAAAAGATATTGCATCCTAGCTGTGACAAGAGATACTGCAGCCCAGCTATGAAAAGAACACAACATATCAACCGCCCTTATATAGGAGAATGCAGAAGAAGAGAGAAAAAGAAATACCAGAAGGCTGTAGCTGATGCCTGAGCAAGGCAACAATGACAACAATAAAATGATAGGGACACTACATCATCAATTTTTCTTTATGCCTAGTGGCACATGAGGCTTCAGAGAGGACTTTCCAGGCTTTCCTGTCCTGTGCAATCTTCAGTGAAGTTTTCCATGTCAAAGATGCCGCACTCAGGTCACTTTCCCTCATTCGTCTCCACATTGTTTTGGGGTGCCCATTTTTTCTCTTTTCCTCTGGTGTCCATGTGAGAGCTGTTTTGGCAGGTATATCATGATTCATTCTCATAATGTGGCCAAGCCATTTCCATCTTTTCTTGGTTATCATACTGTCTAGAGTTTCTTGGTTTGTGACTAGAAGTAGTTTAGTGTTCGAGAATGTATCTGGCCAGAAAATTTTGTTAATTCTACGAAGACATGTGTGGCAAAGACGGATAGCTTGTGTGCATCTTTTTTGGTCATTCTCCGAGGGACACTGCATACAAAGAGGTTAAATATATATTGTCTTGATGGTGATGCAAGTGGGATTGGAGTGTTTCATCTTCTTCTTCTTCAGCAATCTCTGGTCATGTACTTAATCCACTGTAGGCAAAAAACTTTGATGTCATTTCAAGGTCTCTCAGATTTCTCCAAATCCTACTTGATGTGGCCACAGATTGCTTCTGCGTGCACATCCGTTTTCAGATCTGGCTTATTTGTATAAACAACGTCTGTGCCTCATACCGCAAGCAGCTGCACTTCAATTTGGAAAGAAAGACCCATAATAAATCACCTTTTACGAAATGGGGGGGAGGGGGGGGGTGTGTGTGTGTGTGTGGGGAGAAGGTCTATCTGCCCCACAAAGGGAGACCGAAAGAGATCAGTAGCTAATCTTAACCAAAACAACTTTTAACTTATATAGAACAACCACATTTAACTCATATACGACACCATATATCTTACGCAAGACTCCATCTGCTTCATTCAAAGAATGGGTCTCATGGGAGCCACTGTCCAAGAAAATGGCGTCGTCTTCGCCACCATCCCGCCCAAAATCATCCCCAATGTCAGAACTGGAGGCGGAACGCCGGACCTTTCTTGTGCCGGGAGAACCAGGAGGCCTGATGCTGGGCCCACTGGCGGAGATGGACCCGTCCACTTGGCTTGCTGATCCTGATGTCGAGGCACCGTCCCCTGTGCTTCCTTCTCTCTGTTTTTGCGAGATGATGTAATCATGAGAATGTATCCAGGTATAGTGAACACAACAAATAAAATAACTGCCTTATTCAATCAAGATACTGTAAGCATGACAATCATCTAAAGATAAGGCAACTGTGATATTTAATCAAGATACAGTGAGCCTGCCAATCATCTAAAGATATGTTGTCTGTGATATTCATTTAATCAATGAGCACAACAATCAGCTAAATATATAGAGACTGTGATATTCATTCAATCAAGACACAGTCAGCAGGACAACAATCAACTAATGATATGGTGACTGTGATATTCAATCAAGATACAGTGAGCATGACAGCAATCAACTAATGATATGGTGACTGTGATATTCAATCAAGATTCAGTCAGCATGACAGCAATCAACTAATGATATGGTGACTGTGATATTCAATCAAGATACAGTCAGCATGACAGCAATCAACTAATGATATGATGACTGTGATATTCAATCAAGATTCAGTGAGCATGACAGCAATCAACTAATGATATGGTGACTGTGAAGATGAGGAAGAAGAAGAAGATTCAATGACAAACTATGAAAATAAAGTTACTGTCACAATCTATCAAAACACTGTCACGATGAAAATCTGTTAAGATACACTAAATGTGGCAATATGCTACTTTTTTTTGCCCAACTACACAGCTAATCCTGCAAAACTGTCAGTTACAAATCCCTGCAAAGCCAATAAATCCAAATTGCTGAAGTGGCCTATGAGCTAGAATTTGGGTGTGGATAATATAACAAGTAACAATCACTGTTAAGTTACTCCAACTGTCCTTCTTCTTCTTTTTTACATTCACCTGCTGTAAACTCTGGCAGAAAGTTCTGGGTGTTCATCCACTTTTGAAATTTAGTCTTCTTCCAGAACCTAAGTGTTGCATGCACATCCATTTCACACATCTGGCTTATTTATATGCAGACTCTTGGTTCCTTGTGAAGGATGCCCTAATTAACTCCTAGGAGATGCTTGTTGGAGAGGCTGTAGGTCTTTTCTTGTTTCACTTACAATGGGGCCCTGGATCCCACATGGGGAACTCCAACTGCCCAAAGCATTTCCGCACGTAAGAGTTGAGTTGAGTTGATTCAAGAACATGAAATCACAGCACCCAGGGCATTCCCATAAGTGCTCCGTCCCCATCTTTAGCAGCCAGCGAAGAGTTCCGATACTAATGGTGCCAGTAGCATTCTGATTAAACGTCCGTCTTGCCTTTCCTTTGAGCCTTGAGCATCTGCCAGAACCTCTCGTCACTTTCCCTGCATCAATCTCACCAGACTGTGGTGATCCATCTGCTCTTCCAAACTGTATACGCTCTCCCACAAGGCACTAACCATGACTGCCTTATCGCAGGCAGGAAACATTTTTAAAAATATCAAAACAGAAATATTACTCACAGATCCATGTTTCCCTCTTTCTGTGGACAGTAGAATAATTCAACTGTAAGCAGTGAATACAATTAAATAAAATGGACAACAAATAATATATGGTACATTTCATCACCTGGCATACTTCACTGTATTTGTTCCCGGTGTATTTTATCAACATATAACGAAACATACATGTGTATGCTTTCAACTGAAGTGCACAAATCCCACTGCCTCTCATTATGTTGTATATTTCACCATGGAAGCCTAAGATTAACCATGTGATGTTTGTGTTTTGCAGGGAGATTCACGGTGAAACAAGAGACAATGTTATTGGTTTGCTGTGTCAACATTTAAATTCACGATGAAAGAACACTGATTTTTTTAATGAATGCATTCTTTTAAACACACACACAGTGTGATGAGGTGCTTTGCATGGTCTCCAAGCTCACAGCAAGTTGGACAGAAAATTCATACCATAAACGACTGCACGAGATTCTTGGGGTTAGAAGGGTAAGCCAGGGAAAGTCCGAGGTTGACTCGTGGTCAGTTGTGTACCAGAGTTAGAAGAGGGAAGTCATGATGTCGTCACTGTAGTTTTAATGAAGTGTAGTCAACTCTCCCTCCCAAGAGATCCTGAAGTCGGAAATACTGGGCCAGAAGGCGGATCAAAAACCACAGTACTACGCAACCCCACGCTATATATATGATTACACCGTCAGACAAATTTAATGTTGGTGCTCGCCCTGTGGAACTCCACCAGGCAGGTGCAGTGCCGGGTTCTGAGCCTCGACAGAATCCACCCCCAGCTACTGGAGGACCTCCTAGACCGTCTTGTGGAGTCAGGAGACGGCGGAGGATAGCTACTGACCAAAACCAGTTAGACAAAAAAGATCCCAAATTGCCTTTTGTCATTATGCACTGGAATGCAGAGGGGGTCAGCAGTAAGCAGGCTGGCTACAGCAAAAAGTTGGAGCTGGAAAACATCCTCTATGAAAAGCATGACAGTGTATGCTGCATCCAAGAGACCCATTTGCAGGCAGATCAGATATTTAAAGTGAGAGGCTACCAGTGCTTCAGATCTGACAGACAAGGCAGGCAAAAAGGAGGAGTACTCACCCTTGTGAAAAACAGTATCCATCCATGCGAGAAAATGTCTTATATGGATGGAGCTGAGTACCAACTCCTGCAGCTTAAGACAGACAAAGTGGAATTAGAACTCCTTAATTACTACTGTCCCAATGACAAATCGCTAAACCTCAGCTCTGTGCCAGTACCAAACACCAACTTTATTGCAGTTGGAGACTTCAACAGTCATTCACAGAGCTGGGGCTATAACCATCTCGACAATAGGGGTGAAGAGGTGGAAACATGGCAAGATGACCACTCTCTGATCCTGATAAATGCCCCCTCAGATACTCCTACCTTCTACTCCAGAAGGTGGCAGACAACGTCAACCCCAGATCTTGCCTTCTCTACCCCAGATATATCTGGAATGATAAGTAGAGAGGTGGAAGACCAGCTGGGGGGCAGTGACCATCGCCCGATTTTTCTCACTGTCCAGAATGTACCAGTTAATACAGGCCCAGTCATCACAAGATGGAACTACAAGAAAGCCAACTGGGGCCTGTACAGACACAGGACAAGCACATTGTTGTCTGCTCTCAAGGTACAAAATAGGGCTATCAATGCAATAGAAGTATTCTACAAGCTGCAAAAGAAGCAATCCCCAGAGGCTGTCGACACAACTACAGACCGTACTGGTCCAGCACACTCCAGGAATGCCAGGAAACAATGAATCAGGCTAGAAAAGATGCAGAATCCCAACCTTCACCTGACAACCACATCAAATGGAAAAAGGCTGTAGCAGTGTTCCAGAGAACTAAACTTGAAGAAAAACGGAAAAGCTGGAGAAATAAAACAGAAGCTCTAAACCTTGATAAAGATGGCAAGAAACTCTGGAGATTAGCCAAATCACTCAATCAAGAGAGTTTCTCTCCTAGACAAACAATCACGCTAAGTGATGGTGACAAAATCTTCAGAGGAAAACAAGCTGCAGATTTGTTTGCCAAAACATTCAGTGTTGAAAGAAACCGGCCCCTAATGAGGACCATCAGAGAGAAAAAGGAAAGAAAAACAAACAAGCAAACAAATAAATAAGAGACAGACAGATACTCCTGCCTCTATGAGGGAGCCATTTACCATGGGCGAACTACAAAATGTCATCTTTAGGCTTAAGTTAAAAAAGTCTGCAGGTCCAGATGAAATCAGCAACGAAATGCTAATCAACCTGACCTCATCTGCTAAAGTAAAGCTGCTGGAAATTTTCAACATCAGCTGGGAGAAAGGTTTAGTGCCTCAAGTATGGAGAGAAGCCATCACAATACCCATTTTAAAAAAAGGAAAAATTAAGACACAGGCTTCGAGCTATCGCCCAATTAGTCTCACAAGCTGTGTAGGAAAGACATTGGAAAGAATTGTAAATTCAAGACTGAAATGGCACTTAGAATCTGAGCAGATCTTGGTGCCAGAGCAGGCTGGGTTTAGGGAATGTCACAGCATAGAAGATCAAGTCACCTACCTGTCACAAGCTGTAGAGGATGCCTTCCAAGAGAAGAAAAAGGTCCTGGCGGTATGGGTTGACTTCAAACAAGCTTTTGACAAAGTCTGGAAAGATGGTCTCATTGCAAAACTGAAGAGAAATGGAATCCAAGGAAACATGCTAAAATGGATCCAATCCTTCTTACACAGCAGGAGAACTAGAGTCAGTCTTGATGGCCAGCAGAGTAGAAAAGTGTTACTTCGGCAAGGAGTACCACAGGGAGGAGTTATCTCTCCAACTCTCTTTCTTGTGTATATAAATGATCTGGTGAAAGACCCTACAGGAGTAAAAGCTGCCCTGTATGCAGATGATCTGGCACTTTGGTGTACCGATGAACACACCACAGTGGCAAATATAAGAATGCAGCGAGCAGCAGATCTCTTGATGACATGGGCAGAAAAATGGCATGTTGCCATCAACACAGACAAAACATCCACAACGCTTTTCTCTCTTTCCACCAGGGACAAAGCTGCTAGTATTCACCTAGGAACATCCTTGCTAAAGGAAGAAAGCTTCCCCACTTATCTTGGAGTAACATTTGATAAAAGGCTCACATGGAGCAAACATATAGAAAATGTAGAAGGGAAGGCCCGGAGACGACTAGGCCTACTTAGAAAATTGGCAGGTACAGGATGGGGAGCATATGGAAAAACCCTAAAGAAAGTTTATAATGGAGCGATAAGACCCCACTTGGAGTTTGGTGCAACAGCATGGTCAACAGCTGCTAATTCCCACCTACAATCGTTAGACAGAGTGCAAAATCAAGCTCTCAGACTCATCACAGGATCCATGATAACTGCACCAATCCTGAAGATGCAGAAAATAACTGCAATGCAGACATTGTCCTATAGAAGAGACACTAAAACTATGATCCAGATGGAGAAGTTTAATAGTATGCAGTCACACCCAATGAATAAAAGGTTAGATGATCTGGCATTAGGGCGTCTCAAACGTAGCAGCTTTGTCCATCGGGGGAAAAGACTTAGAAGACAGTATCAAGCTGATC